ATAAACGCTCTGTGTCTCTGTTCTGCAATTACAAGATATTCCTACATGAATGTTATCACAACTATTGCAAATGTACTTCAGTAATGTAATTTTCGCATTGCTATTGTAAGAAGAATTGGTAGAAATGCTACCTGTATGGATAGAACATTGCATTGCTGCTCCCAGGACTTCCAGTAGTACCTACTGAATCCAGATATAAGTTGTTCTTTAAAGGATCGCGTAGTCTCGTTGTTTTTAAATCCGCTACGCTTTGGTATGGAGCTGACCCAGTTTGAGGGACCACAGGTGTAACGTGGGTAACCTGGAAGGCAGATGTATAAGAATTAAATGATTGTAAGAAGCTTTTAAACTGAAAATTCCTTCAATAAATTTTTTACATGCCAGTCCTTAGACTTGCATTCACCTTCTACAATGGTTTAGGAGACTATCAGGAGGTGCAATATAGTGCTACGAATACCCGTGGATGACTAATTGACCCTTTTTACTCCAAATGAAATTAAATGGTAAGCTGATATTTGCATAAAGTCGCCGAGAGCATCTCCTGCTCATATTTTGCTTGATATGGTAACCGGAACTAACACATTATATTTTGAATTTCATAATTAGCTAATTATAGCCTTATAACCCTCAAAGACGAATGTGCCAGCGCGTAATAGGGTAAGTAGATATGAAATTCCAAGATCCTTCAGTATCAAAGCCACTTAAATATTTCAACAACTCTTGCTAATTTTTACCTGAGTGCTGCTCAGTGGAGATGCTGTTTGCCCTCTTACAATTGGTGGACCGGATCGTACGGGTGTATCTGAAACATGATCCTAGATGTTGTGAAGAGTCACAAAAATGCGAAAATGAACACTTAAGTGCCACTTCCCCAGGATTTGCCTCAATTTTCAACAAATAAGATTGTGCGAAAAGTTTTTTAGTTAGCTCTGCATGAAAATCAATGCTATGGATCAAAACGTACATCAAAATGAAGAGATAAATCTACCTGAATAAGCATATCCATAGATATTGTCGGAGTATTGCTGGCTCAAGCTCGGTCGATTATACGACGTCTGAAACGTTACTACTCCTTTTGTTGATTTTTAATTGATTGACTCTGCGTACCTGCTGTATCCTCTGGTAATTGACGGAATTTTGTTGTTCATTGCTAAGAAGGGCATCATTCATGGGCACAGTGTTTAGAGCAGTTTCGCCAGAACCTAGAGATTTTCATTTTGCAACGAAACCTCTTAACAAATCGACCCAACCATTTTTAAACTTAACGAATTTACCAGAACTTTGCGCAAGGTTTGCTTCGGCCTTCACGTAATTCTCGGCATATCCAG